TCTATCTATCTATCTATCTATCTATCTATCTCTATTCATCCCTCCCCGCCATCGCTCGTGCTGTCCGTCATTGCTGAGAAGCAGCATATCCTAATGTGCCCCTCTGCCCTTCTCATCTTCTCTTCCCCGTCCATCTCCTGACCGTTCTCTCCTACCCCAACGCCCCCTCTCCCCCCTTTCTCTGTGCGTATATACAGTACATTACCCAATACCCTAGCTCTTCACATTACAATCAGGTCAACAGAGTTCCTTTTCAAAATAGACTAATCCCAAGTGCTTTTTCGGCAATGCTGCTGCTCCTCTCGCATACAAAAGGCTAACACTTTCCCCCAATAGAACATATGGTCAGTATGGCGGTATCTGGGCTGAAAGTTGCCCCAAATACAGCAATAATGACCGTAGATTTTATTCGCAAGAAGACGGCAGGCGACGGGAGACTGTACCGGGCGTTAGGACATGTGGCAAGCAAGCAAGCAAACATGGGAATACAAGTAGACAGTAGTCAGCGAGTTATGGCGGGCGCCCGAATATGACTGACAACACCAGCGACGTCGGCCGTCCAGTATCCGAGAGGCAGTCGGTCGGCCGTTCCCTCAGTCTGAATGCGGTTGGTCCATTCCCCACTCGACCTGTCAGTTGGTCAGTCGGTCGGTCAGTCGGCTCACTCGGTCTCTTGGTGAGCTTGGCCAGGCGGTCGGTCCATCCATCGGTCACTTGACCTGGCAGCTAGTCGTTTGATCCCAGTCGTTCGGTCATATGGCTGCCTGGTCACTCCATCCGTCGATCAGTGGGCTTCGCCGGGCGGGCGGTTTATCGGTTGCTCGATTTGTCTGAAGGCGGTCTGCCAATCAATGAAAGTCGCTCGACCTGACAGGTCGGTCGTCAGGTCGGTCGGCCCAGATTGGTGAGCCATCAATCGCTCGATCGCCCGTGGATGCTTGGTCGCGGAATAGGTCGATCAGTAGGGTTGGGCAGGCGGTCGGTCGATCGATTCGTCGATCGATTTATCAGAAGCGGGTCAGTTCATCGGCAACAGTCGCTCGACATGTCAGTCGGTTGCTTGACCGGTCGGCCCAATTGGTAAGTCTTCAATCGGTTGATCTATCAGTCGTGGCTGTTTGGTCAGTCAACTGGTCGATCGGTAGGCTTGTGCAGGCGGTCGGTCGGTTGGTTGGCCAATTGATTTGTCAGAAGGCGGTCAGTCAATCAATAAGAGTAGTCCCTCAACCAGTGAGGTGGCCGGTCGATCGGTCGGCCCACGTGG